TCATCTCACTCCCCTCCAAGCACTCTCCTCTACAGTGATCAATGTTTCCTGTGTAAAGCCCCAAATCAACTTTTACTCAGCAGCAGGTCGCTGATTCTCCCCTTCACTGCCCCCACGGTTTGAAACTCCCACAATCTCATGTCTCTGCCTATATTATTTTCCCAAGCTCATGACTTTTCAATGTTTGCTCCCTCTAAACCATGGGTACCACCCGATATTCTCCAAAAAAAATAATTTGCCTAAGACCACTGCCGCGACCATTTTTGGCATCTGCTGCCACTTGAACAAGAAGCAAAGTGAGAGGTGAACTCAAAAGTGAGAAAGTGTGGGTGGTGGTGGGTTTTCGTTATTCGTAAACGAGCAAAAACAAAAAAAACTAACAAAAAGAGCCAGTCAAGAAAGAATGGATCTCTACCGAATTTTTCTTTGACATCGGCACCAAGAAGATTTGGAACAGCACCGGAGAGAGAAGAAAAAAAACAGATTTGGTCGGGGGTTGGGGTGGGTGGGAGGGGGGGGAAGAAGAAGGAGTCGGGAAATAAAATCTCGATCAAAATCCGATGGCCTTTTGATTTTGATCGGCGTGCCACCAATCCCCCCTCCCACCGACCCAAATTGGCACGGGGGGGAGGGAAGGAAGGGGCTCACCCACCGGATGGACGACGCCTTTTTCTAGACGGAAATCTTTTTGAGTTTCGGGAGAAACTCACGATGGCGGTTGTCGGGAGCTTGTGGTGGCGGTGTTGACGGTGGTGGTGGTAGTGTGCGGGGAGGGTCACGGTGGAGGAGCGGTGTGGGGAGTTACAAGGATGAGACAGGATGGGGTGGGGGGGTCATAGCGGCAAGGCTGGGGGCAAATTGAGGAGGTGCGATGTGTGTGTGGTGAAGAGCAAGATGGACTTTGAGGGTTATGGTGGGGTTACAATCTCTGGAAGGGAAGGAAATAGAGTCATCAGGAGAGGAGAGGAGAGGAAGGAGGGGAATGCGTTGAGGTGTGTGTGTGAAGATATGGGGGGTGGGAACAGGCATTAAAGGGGAAGGGGGGGGGGGTCCAAAGGAAGGAAGGAAGGAAGGAATGAGAGGTTGCGGTGTGTGTGGTGAAGAACAAGATGGACTTTGAGGGTTATAGTGGGGTTACAAGCTCGGGTAGGGAAGGAAGTGGGTCGAAGGAAGGGGGAGGAGGGGAATGAGGTGCGGTGTGTGTGACGATGGGAGTGGTGGTAGGAAGCATTGGAGACGAAGGGGTCCAAGCGGAGGGAAAAAATGGAGGAATGAGAGGTACGGTGATTTCTTCTTTTTGGTGGTGGTGAGAAGTTTCAATTCCGATGTGAACCCCCTCCGGTCGTCCGGTGCGAGGACGATCGATTGTCCGGCAACGTGTTTGTCGTGGTGGTTGTTTGTTTGCGGTTGTTGTCGTGGTGGTTGTTTGTTTGCGGTTGTTGTCGTGGTGGTTGTTTGTTTGCGGTTGTTGTCGTGGTGGTTGTTTGTTTGCGGTTGTTGTCGTGGTGGTTGTTTGTTTGCGGTTGTTGTCGTGGTGGTTGTTTGTTTGCGGTTGTTGTCGTGGTGGTTGTTTGTTTGCGGTTGTTGTCGTGGTGGTTGTTTGTTCGCGGTTGTTGTCGTGGTGGTTGTTTGTTTGTGGTTGTTGTCGTGGTGGTTGTTTGTTTGCGGTTGTTGTCGTGGTGGTTGTTTGTTTGCGGTTGTTGTCGTGGTGGTTGTTTGTTCACGGTTGTTGTCGTGGTGGTTGTTTGTTTGTGGTTGTTGTCGTGGTGGTTGTTTGTTTGCGGTTGTTGTCGTGGTGGTTGTTTGTTTGCGGTTGTTGTCGTGGTGGTTGTTTGTTTGCGGTTGTTGTCGTGGTGGTTGTTTGTTTGCGGTTGTTGTCGTGGTGGTTGTTTGTTTGCGGTTGTTGTCGTGGTGGTTGTTTGTATATAATAGACAAGAGAGATAGAGAGGAAGAGGAGAGTGAGAGAAAAGGGGGGAAGATACAGCATTTGCAAAACAAATGCAAAAAAAAGTTAGAAGGGGGCGGTAATTAGTTTTCAAAATTAAGCCCCGGAGTCTCTCTCGCGATGTTCCACGGAAAAAATAAAAAGTTAAAGAGAGCCGTGGATGTCGTATTGACGGCCGATGAACAACAAGAAGAAACAAGCGCGCTGCTTGCAGAGGGACTACGTGTGGCCAATATCACCTTGAATGAGCCAAACGGTGACTTAAAACGTGTGGAGAAAAAATTATTGGCTACATGTGTGTGGCGTGTGTGTGCGCGGCATGTGTGTGGTGTGTGTGTGGAGTGTGTGTGTAGCGGCTGTCGAGGGTCAAAGGATGTTGTGATGTGACGTCCGAGCGTGAATCAAAAACCACGGAACACACGCACACAGATCCTCGTCGACGTCGCCTGTAACAAAGACAAAGATCCCTGAACAGACTGTTGGGACAAGTTGCTGTTAGCGAGTAGCAGCACCCGATGAAGGCCGGCGCACTGTGGGCACACACAGAGGAGGTGGGTCGCCAGCACTACCACGCCCGTCCGCCTTTGTCTTCCCCGGTGGCGATGTTTTTACGACACACCGCTACACCCGGGTACTCATTTTTGGAGGCTTAGTCGGTCGTCCTGGCCAAGGGACCGGTATCAGATCATCGCTATCGCTGGTGGCCGTGAGCGGAGGAATCGAATTCGGGTTGACGGGCGTGTTCATAGCGCAGGTGTCGCCGTGCTAACCGCTGCGCCACCGCTCCCTGACCACGCGCGCGCGCCCGGAGCCGGAAGTTATTTTATGTTCTCGAGTGAGCAGCACTGAGAGGTCGGTCGGTGCTCAATCCGCTTTTGACTCCAGCCCTGCGGAGCTGGCGATAGCAATTCCACATTGCTGTGGCAAAGACATTCTTGATAAGACCCGAGCGAGGAAGGAGGAGGAGGGAGGAGGATGAGGAGGGAGGGGAACGGAGGAGGATGAGGAGGGAGGAGGGGGGAAGAGGAGGCGGGAGGAGGGTGGCGGGGGAGGAGGAGGATGAGGAGGGGGGAGGAGGGGGGGAGGAGTGTGAGGAGGGAGGAGAGGGGGAGGAGGATGAGGAGGAGGGAGGAGGAGGGGAGGAGGATGAGGAGGGATGAGGATGAGGATCGAGGAGGTAGGGTAGGGGAGATGAGGATGAAGAGGGGGGGGGAGAAGGGGGAAGGAGGATGAAGAGGGGGAGGGAGGTAGGGGAGAGGGGGAAGGATGAGGAGGATGAGGAGGAGGGTAAACGTTAAAACTCAAAAACCTTTGACAAACCATTACTCGGCACCGCTTTGGTGAGGTACATTGAACTAAGGCTTGTAAACAACTCGTACATAACAACAACAACAACAAAAACTGCGGAGATGAAAAAAAACGAAATGACGACAGCACGTGTGTTTGACCAACTACTCGTGTGTGTGACGACACTGTGACGACACAGTGTGTGTGACGACACAGTGTGTGACGACAGTGTGTGACGACACAGTGTGTGAGAACACAGTGTGTGACGACACAAGGACTGGGGGGGGGGGGGGGGACGAGGTGGTTGCGGTCGCTGTTGGTCGGTCAGCCCGTCCATGAGACATGGAAACACGGCTGCGATGAGGGGAAAAAGATGGGAGCTTGTGTCAATAAACAACAACAAGCGGGGTCGGGGGTCACGGCGATTCGACAATCGCTTGACGTGCAGAACAGGGTGAGATCATACAAACGCCACTCGCTCACTCTGCAGAACAGGGTGAGATCATACAAACTCCACTCACTCTGTAGAACAGGGGGAGATCATACAAACTCCACTCACTCTGTAGAACAGGGGGAGATCACACACACTCCACTCACTCACTCTGTAGAACAGGGGGAGATCATACAAACTCCACTCACTCACTCTGTAGAACAGGGGGAGATCATACAAACTCCACTCACTCACTCTGTAGAACAGGTGGAGATCACACAAACTCCACTCACTCACTCCGTAGAACAGGGGGAGATCATACAAACTCCACTCACTCACTCTGTAGAACAGGGTGAGATCATACAAACTGCACTCACTCACTCTGTAGAACAGGGGAGATCATACAAACTCCACTCACTCGCTCTGTAGAACAGGTGGAGATCATATAAACTGAACTCACTCACTCTGTAGAACAGGGGGTGATCATACAAATTTCACTCACTTACTCTACAGAACAGGGGGAGATCATACAAATTTCACTCACTTACTCTACAGAACAGGGGGAGATCATACAAACTCCACTCACTCACTCTCACGCTCTGCATAACAGGGGGAGAGAACTTACAAACTCCACACACAGAGTTCAGTTGCCCGAGTCAGGAGTGTAACCCAGACTCTTCTTGCTGAGGCACAGCAGGTGTCACCCGCTGTGCTGCCAACACCCTGCCATGCCCACTCGTGGCCACAAATACAAGCAACAACAACAACAAGGCAGCCACGCTGGGCGGCTTGTGACCGTTCTCCCACTGCTCTGACGATCAGCTATTGAATTCCTTCCCGTCTTCTGACTATTGCAGGAGGTCGTGGGTTCGATCCCGACCCTGACTACGCCTCCTGTGTATTTGGAGTTTGCGTGTCTCTCTCTTTCTCCGGGTCCTCCGGTTTTTCGCTCCGAATTTAGAATCAACGTCACGCGGTCAGATTACTGGACTGCCGCTGTACATTGCCACACGAAGAAGATGAATCCCGGTCGACTGTCAACCCCCCTCCCTCCTCGTCCCAATTTCAGGCCAACGATGAGCCACTTTGTTGAGCTATCAACATCGCCCACCCCCCGTTCCCCCCAGCCCCTTACTGCCAGCCAAATTGCCACTTTAGCAGCCGGGCCACTGCGTTCAACTTGTGCCACGCAGGGACAGTTGCCACCGGCTTGAGTTTCCCCTATTGCCTCTCCGCTGTGAAACACGTGTGTTGCATCGCTGCGCTAACAGTAATCATGGCTGCTGTTATTGTCTCTCGATGTCGTCGTCGTCGTCGGCACCGTGCACCGCTAACAGTAATCATGGCTGCTGTTATTGTCTCTTGATATCGTTGGCACCGTGCACCGCACCTGGGCTCTTCTGCACCTCGCGCTTCATCCGCTTGAGGCGCCGCAGGAGGCCGCGCAGGTCGGTGATGCCATACTGGAAGGCGATCTTCTCGAACTCCGATGGCTTCGCGTTCTTCAGCAGTTCCCACACGTCCACGTCGGGCTCCTGCTGCTCGGGACCCTTCGCCTTCCTGCCGAGTTGAAGGAGGTCGCTCGCTCAATTTCTCGCTCGCTCTCTCGCTCGGTCAGTCAGTCAATGGGTTGCTCGCTCAAGTCAGTCAGTGAATGGATCGCTCACTTGGTCACTCAATCGCTCGCTCGCTAAGTCATCGAATTGATCGCTCACTCAATCAGTCAGTGAATGGATCACTCACTTGGTTACTCAATGGCTCGCTCGCTAAGTCAGCGAATGGATCGCTCACTCAATCAGTCAGTGAATGGATCACTCACTTGGTTACTCAATCGCTCGCTCGCTAAGTCAGCGAATGGATCGCTCACTCAATCAGTCAGTGAATGGATCACTCACTTGGTTACTCAATGGCTCGCTTGCTTGCTAGTCAGTCAATGGATCGTTCGCTCAGTCAGTCAGTGAAGGCATCGCTCACTTGGTCACTCAATCGCTCATTCGCTCGCTAAGTCATTTAACGGATCGCTCGCTCAGTCAGTCAGTGAATGGGTCACTCACATGGTCACTCATTCGCTCGCTCACTCGCTCAGCCCATATGCAAAAACGTTGGCCTGAAATTGGGACGAGGAGGGAGGGGGGGTGACAGTCGACCGGTATTCATCTTCTTATTTTAAATGAAACTTAAATAGCGCCTCTACTAAGGAGCTTAGCAATTATACATTTATACATAGCGTGATAATTGAAATTAACAAGGTTATTGTAAGTGGTGGTGTACTTTTGATGACAACAAATCGAGAGGTGATTGATAAAGGAGGGGGGGGGGGCCTGGCAACAGAACGCTTGGGGGGCTGAACAATAATGGCGAGGCATGGTTGTGTTGGGAAGACAAAGAGGGGTCGGCGAGGGGCAGGAGTCAGGAGGAGCGTTGGTTCAGGACTCTGGTTCACAGTCATTATGCATCTCGTGAGAGAGACGGAAAGAGAGAGACACACACAGAGACACACAAACACAGACAGAGAGAGACACACACACAGAGAGAGACACAGAGAGCGAGAGAGAGACACAGACACACACACACAGAGAGATACACACACAGAGACAAAGAGAGACACACACAGACAACAGAGACAGAGAGAGACACACACAGGCAGAGAGAGACACACACAGAGAGAGGGAGAGACACACAGACACACACACAGAGAGAGATACACACACACACAGACAGAGAGAGACACACACAGAGAGAGAAACAGACAGAGAGAGACACACACACAGACAGAGAGAGACACACAGAGAAAGAGAGACACACACTGAGAGAGAGAGACACACACACAGAGACAGAGAGAGAGACACACACAGAGAGACAAAGAGAGACACACAGACAGAGACAGAGAGAGACACACAGACAACAGAGACAGAGAGAGAGACACACACACAGAGACAAAGAGAGACACACAGACAGAGACAGAGAGAGACACACAGACAACAGAGACAGAGAGAGACACACACACAGGCAGAGAGAGAGAGACACACACACAGAGACAGAGAGAGACACACACACACAGAGAGAGAGACACACACACAGAGACAGAGAGAGAGACAAACACACAGAGACACACACACAGACAGAGAGAGATACACACACAGAGACAGAGACGGAGAGAGAGAAGATGGTCGTACCCTTTCTTCAGTAGGCCACTGAAATCCAGCTCGCCCGCATCCTCTCCGCCGCTCCTGTAACCATCAACAACAATAACAACCCACCACACGTGAATTTGAGTTTGACAGCTCATGTCTCACGGGCGAGACGTTCACTCACGAGGCACGCACAAGTGGGGTGGTTTACATTGGGGTGCCTGAGAAACTGGCATCTCAGGAGGCCAATATTCTGGATCGGAGTCTTGATGGAGACTGTGATCCAGGAGGCCAAAAATCTGGATCAAAGTCTTCACTGAGACTCTGATCCAAGAGGCCGGGTTTCAGGATTAGACTGGGGTCTATAGGAGACCGGGTTTCACGATTATTGTCCTCACTGAGTCTCGGATCCAGGAGACCGGGGTCTAGATCACAGTCCTCATTGAGTCTCAGAACCAGGAGACTGGGTGTCAGGATCAGACTCCTCATTGAGTCTCAGATCCAGGAGGCTGGGTGTCAGGATCAGACTCGTCATTGAGTCTCAGAACCAGGAGACTGGGTGTCAGGATCAGACTCCTCATTGAGTCTCAGAACCAGGAGACTGGGTGTCAGGATCAGACTCCTCATTGAGTCTCGGATCCAGGAGACTGGGTGTCAGGATCAGACTCATTATTGAGTCTCGGATCCAGGAGACTGGGTGTCAGGATCAGACTCCTCATTGAGTCTCAGATCCAGGAGACTGGGTGTCAGGATCAGACTCATCATTGAGTCTCTGATCCAGGAGACTGTGTGTCAGGATCAGCCTCCTCATTGAGTCTCAGATCCAAAAGACTGGGTGTCAGGATCAGACTCCTCATTGAGTCTCAGATCCAGGAGACTGGGTGTCAGGATCAGACTCCTCATTGAGTCTCAGATCCAGGAGACGGGTGTCAGGATCAGACTCATCATTGAGTCTCGTTTCCAGGAGACTGGGTGTCAGGATCAGACTCCTCATTGAGTCTCGGATCCAGGAGACTGGGTGTCAGAATCAGACTCCTCACTGAGTTTCAGATCCAGGAGACCATGTGTCAGGATCAGACTCATCATTGAGTCTCGGATCCAGGAGACTGGGTGTCAGGATCAGACTCCTCATTGAGTTTCAGATCCAGGAGACTGGGTGTCAGGATCAGACTCCTCATTGAGTCTCAGATCCAGGAGACTGGGTGTCAGGATCAGACTCGTCATTAAGTCTCAGATCCAGGAGACTGTGTGTCAGGATCAGACTCCTCATTGATTTTCAGAACCAGGAGACTGGGTGACAGGATCAGACTCATCATTAAGTCTCAGATCCAGGAGACTGGGTGTCAGGATCAGACTCATCATTGAGTCTCAGATCCAGGAGACTGGGTGTCAGGATCAGAGTCTCGCCACTCTGATGCAGGAGACGAGGAAGTTCTAGGGTGCGTGCGGGTTCTTGTTCCACTCACGATCTTCTGAACGCGGCTCTCAGATCCATGGCGGACTCGGCAGGAGCTGCCACAAAGAGAGAGCAAACAGACAGCAGGAGTCCACTGCTGCTCGGCCACGGCAAAGGTAAATGTGCTGGTCTGCAAATGGCTTGCTCACCCCACTCCGGAGCAAGGCGAAGTCTATGGTTGGCAGTGTTGAGTCTATGGGTGGCAGTGTTGAGTCTATGGGTGGCAGTGTTGAGTCTATGGGTGGCAGTGTTGAGTCTATGGGTGGCAGTGTTGAGTCTATGGGTGGCAGTGTTGAGTCTATGGGTGGCAGTGTTGAGGCTATGGGTGGCAGTGTTGAGTCTATGGGTGGCAGTGTTGAGTCTATGGGTGGCAGTGTTGAGTCTATGGGTGGCAATGTTGAGTCTATGGGTGGCAGTGTTGAGTCTATGGGTGGCAGTGTTGAGTCTATGGGTGGCAGTGTTCAGTCGATGGGTGGCAGTGTTGAGTCTATGGGTGGCAGTGTTGAGTCTATGGTGCAGTGTTGAGCCTATGGGTGGTAGTGTTGAGTCTATGGGTGGTAGTGTTGAGTCTATGGGTGGCAGTGTTGAGTCTATGGGTGGCAGTGTTGAGTCTATGGTTGGCAGTGTTGAGTCTATGGGTGGCAGTGTTGAGGCTATGGGTGGCAGTGTTGAGTCTATGGGTGGCAGTGTTGAGTCTATGGGTGGCAGTGTTGAGTCTATGGGTGGCAGTGTTGAGTCTATGGTGCAGTGTTGAGTCTATGGGTGGTAGTGTTGAGTCTATGGGTGGCAGTGTTGAGTCTATGGGTAGCAGTGTTGAGTCTATGGGTAGCAGTGTTGAGTCTATGGGTAGCAGTGTTGAGTCTATGGGTAGCAGTGTTGAGTCTATGGGTAGCAGTGTTGAGTCTATGGGTGGTAGTGTTGAGTCTATGGGTGGCAGTGTTGAGTCTATGGGTAGCAGTGTTGAGTCTATGGGTAGCAGTGTTGAGTCTATGGGTAGCAGTGTCGAGTCTATGGGTAGCAGTGTTGAGTCTATGGGTAGCAGTGTTGAGTCTATGGGTGGCAGTGTTGAGTCTATGGTGCAGTGTTGAGTCAATGGTGCAGTGTTGAGTCAATGGTGTAGTGTTGAGTCTATGGTGCAGTGGTGAGTCTATGGGTTGCAGTGATGAGTCTATGGGTAGCAGTGATGAGTCTAGGGGTGGCAGTGTTGAGTCAATTGGCAGCAGTTTTGAGTCTATGGGAAGTGTTGAGTCTATGGGTGGCAGTGTTGAGTCTATGGGTGGCAGTGTTGAGTCTATGGGTGGTAGTGTTGAGTCTATGGGTAACAGTGTTGAGTCTATGGGTGGCAGTGTTGAGTCTATGGGTGGTAGTGTTGAGTCTATGGGTGGTAGTGTTGAGTCTATGGGTAGCAGTGTTGAGTATATGGGTGGCAGTGTTGAGTCTATGGGTGGCAGTGTTGAGTCTATGGGTGGTAGTGTTGAGTCTATGGGTAGCAGTGTTGAGTCTATGGGTGGCAGTGTTGAGTCTATGGGTGGCAGTGTTGAGTCTATGGGTGACAGCGTTGAGTCTATGGGTGACAGTGTTGAGTCTTTGGGTGACAGTGTTGAGTCTATGGGTGGTAGTGTTGAGTCTATGGTGCAGTGTTGAGTCTATGGGTGACAGTGTTGAGTCTATGGGTGGTAGTGTTGAGTCTATGGGTGGCAGTGTTGAGTCTATGGGTGGCAGTGTTCAGTCGATGGGTGACAGTGTTGAGTCTATGGATGGCAGTGTTGAGTCTATGGTGCAGTGTTGAGTCTATGGGTGGTAGTGTTGAGTCTATGGGTGGCAGTGTTGAGTCTATGGGTAGCAGTTTTGAGTCTATGGGTAGCAGTGTTGAGTCTATGGGTAGCAGTGTTGAGTCTATGGGTAGCAGTGTTGAGTCTATGGGTGGCAGTGTGAGTCTATGGGTAGCAGTGTTGAGTCTATGGGTAGCAGTGTTGAGTCTATGGGTAGTAGTGTCGAGTCTATGGGTAGCAGTGTTGAGTCTATGGGTAGCAGTGTTGAGTCTATGGGTGGCAGTGTTGAGTCTATGGTGCAGTGTTGAGTCAATGGTGCAGTGTTGAGTCAATGGTGTAGTGTTGAGTCTATGGTGCAGTGGTGAGTCTATGGGTGGCAGTGATGAGTCTATGGGTAGCAGTGATGAGTCTAGGGGTGGCAGTGTTGAGTCAATTTGCAGCAGTTTTGAGTCTATGGGAAGTGTTGAGTCTATGGGTGGCAGTGTTGAGTCTATGGGTGGCAGTGTTGAGTCTATGGGTGGTAGTGTTGAGTCTATGGGTGGTAGTGTTGAGTCTATGGGTAACAGTGTTGAGTCTATGGTTGGCAGTGTTGAGTCTATGGGTAGCAGTGTCGAGTCTATGGGTAGCAGTGTTGAGTCTATGGGTAGCAGTGTTGAGTCTATGGGTAGCAGTGTTGAGTCTATGGGTAGCAGTGTCGAGTCTATGGGTAGCAGTGTTGAGTCTATGGGTAGCAGTGTTGAGTCTATGGGTGGCAGTGTTGAGTCTATGGTGCAGTGTTGAGTCAATGGTGCAGTGTTGAGTCAATGGTGTAGTGTTGAGTCTATGGGTAACAGTGTTGAGTCTATGGGTAGCAGTGTTGAGTCTATGGGTAGCAGTGTTGAGTCTATGGGTAGCAGTGTTGAGTCTATGGGTAGCAGTGTTGAGTCTATGGGTGGTAGTGTTGAGTCTATGGGTGGCAGTGTTGAGTCTATGGGTAGCAGTGTTGAGTCTATGGGTAGCAGTGTTGAGTCTATGGGTAGCAGTGTCGAGTCTATGGGTAGCAGTGTTGAGTCTATGGGTAGCAGTGTTGAGTCTATGGGTGGCAGTGTTGAGTCTATGGTGCAGTGTTGAGTCAATGGTGCAGTGTTGAGTCAATGGTGTAGTGTTGAGTCTATGGTGCAGTGGTGAGTCTATGGGTGGCAGTGATGAGTCTATGGGTAGCAGTGATGAGTCTAGGGGTGGCAGTGTTGAGTCAATTGGCAGCAGTTTTGAGTCTATGGGAAGTGTTGAGTCTATGGGTGGCAGTGTTGAGTCTATGGGTGGCAGTGTTGAGTCTATGGGTGGTAGTGTTGAGTCTATGGGTAACAGTGTTGAGTCTATGGGTGGCAGTGTTGAGTCTATGGGTGGTAGTGTTGAGTCTATGGGTGGTAGTGTTGAGTCTATGGGTAGCAGTGTTGAGTATATGGGTGGCAGTGTTGAGTCTATGGGTGGCAGTGTTGAGTCTATGGGTGGTAGTGTTGAGTCTATGGGTAGCAGTGTTGAGTCTATGGGTGGCAGTGTTGAGTCTATGGGTGGCAGTGTTGAGTCTATGGGTGACAGCGTTGAGTCTATGGGTGACAGTGTTGAGTCTTTGGGTGACAGTGTTGAGTCTATGGGTGGTAGTGTTGAGTCTATGGTGCAGTGTTGAGTCTATGGGTGACAGTGTTGAGTCTATGGGTGGTAGTGTTGAGTCTATGGGTGGCAGTGTTGAGTCTATGGGTGGCAGTGTTCAGTCGATGGGTGACAGTGTTGAGTCTATGGATGGCAGTGTTGAGTCTATGGTGCAGTGTTGAGTCTATGGGTGGTAGTGTTGAGTCTATGGGTGGCAGTGTTGAGTCTATGGGTAGCAGTTTTGAGTCTATGGGTAGCAGTGTTGAGTCTATGGGTAGCAGTGTTGAGTCTATGGGTAGCAGTGTTGAGTCTATGGGTGGCAGTGTGAGTCTATGGGTAGCAGTGTTGAGTCTATGGGTAGCAGTGTTGAGTCTATGGGTAGCAGTGTCGAGTCTATGGGTAGCAGTGTTGAGTCTATGGGTAGCAGTGTTGAGTCTATGGGTGGCAGTGTTGAGTCTATGGTGCAGTGTTGAGTCAATGGTGCAGTGTTGAGTCAATGGTGTAGTGTTGAGTCTATGGTGCAGTGGTGAGTCTATGGGTGGCAGTGATGAGTCTATGGGTAGCAGTGATGAGTCTAGGGGTGGCAGTGTTGAGTCAATTGGCAGCAGTTTTGAGTCTATGGGAAGTGTTGAGTCTATGGGTGGCAGTGTTGAGTCTATGGGTGGCAGTGTTGAGTCTATGGGTGGTAGTGTTGAGTCTATGGGTGGTAGTGTTGAGTCTATGGGTAACAGTGTTGAGTCTATGGGTGGCAGTGTTGAGTCTATGGGTAGCAGTGTCGAGTCTATGGGTAGCAGTGTTGAGTCTATGGGTAGCAGTGTTGAGTCTATGGGTAGCAGTGTTGAGTCTATGGGTAGCAGTGTCGAGTCTATGGGTAGCAGTGTTGAGTCTATGGGTAGCAGTGTTGAGTCTATGGGTGGCAGTGTTGAGTCTATGGTGCAGTGTTGAGTCAATGGTGCAGTGTTGAGTCAATGGTGTAGTGTTGAGTCTATGGTGCAGTGGTGAGTCTATGGGTGGCAGTGATGAGTCTATGGGTAGCAGTGATGAGTCTAGGGGTGGCAGTGTTGAGTCAATTGGCAGCAGTTTTGAGTCTATGGGAAGTGTTGAGTCTATGGGTGGCAGTGTTGAGTCTATGGGTGGCAGTGTTGAGTCTATGGGTGGTAGTGTTGAGTCTATGGGTAACAGTGTTGAGTCTATGGGTGGCAGTGTTGAGTCTATGGGTGGTAGTGTTGAGTCTATGGGTGGTAGTGTTGAGTCTATGGGTAGCAGTGTTGAGTATATGAGTGGCAGTGTTGAGTCTATGGGTGGCAGTGTTGAGTCTATGGGTGGTAGTGTTGAGTCTATGGGTAGCAGTGTTGAGTCTATGGGTAGCAGTGTTGAGTCTATGGGTGGCAGTGTTGAGTCTATGGGTGGCAGTGTTGAGTCTATGGGTGACAGCGTTGAGTCTATGGGTGACAGTGTTGAGTATTTGGGTGACAGTGTTGAGTCTATGGGTGGTAGTGTTGAGTCTATGGTGCAGTGTTGAGTCTATGGGTGACAGTGTTGAGTCTATGGGTGGTAGTGTTGAGTCTATGGGTGGCAGTGTTGAGTCTATGGGTGGCAGTGTTCAGTCGATGGGTGATAGTGTTGAGTCTATGGATGGCAGTGTTGAGTCTATG